TAGGATAAATCCTAACACCGTATGTATATCTTAATACTCTAGTTTTTATCGTGCCTATTTTTAGGCCATATTCGACAGCTCCACGAACAATTACGGTGGAAGGTCGTTGCGGCACATCAATAAGTCGCACCTTTGAACTGAATTCTTCCTTTACTCGTAAATGCAAATACTCAGAGCTGCTAAAACCTCCCACCAAAAATATTGCCGAAAGATCATGAACATTGGAATTTAATTGTTGATCTATTAGTCTAATAATACGATCAACAGCGGGGTCAAACATTTGCTTCACCGTTTCAAAGTTCAAGTATAAAAGCCAATCATTACTTTCTAAGTCCATTTTTGTTCTCTGGTCCACATATTGCTTAATCGCTGGCCAAGTTTCAAGGTCAAAGCAGAAGAGATCAAAATCATCTCGATTGCCAGTAAACGGTATTTTAACGTGTCTACAAAATTCATAGACCAAGATTTCATATTGGGGATAGTGTTTTTCTCTAAGATTGATAACTGTTGAATCAACACTACGACTAATATATCTAATAAATTCCCGATCCACGTAAGTACCTCCACAGAAATCACCGATTCTTTCGGTGATCACACCTAGTTTGTTTCCATTCAAAATTTCGTAGGTCATCATATTCACCGTATCTCCTCCACAATCACATATGAGAAAAGACGCTGTTTACAAGTTGAAGATATTAATCGACGAAAATTTTATTTATATTTTGGAATAACAAACTGACGAAAGCCACATACTTCCAACTGAGTTAAGATGATGTTTGTCCAACACTTTCATACAATACGAAGCGGCAGCTTCCACTAAAGAAAAAGAATGCAATATAATAAAGAATCTTTTTTTATTAGTTAATTTTTAAATCAGAACACTAGAAAAGAATCATTTGTTAAATCCACACATACTTTCGGTGGCAAATTGAAGATTATCTATACTAATCAAATGAGCATTGTTAACACATTTCCCTCATAACCGCTATAGAATGCCTGGTAAATTCATCGGGAATAGTGAGTACGATTTTTACGTGATTCATAAAATCGATTCTAGGCCAATAATAATGAATTATTTTTTTTGCCCACTACACAATAAAATCACAAAAATGGAAAAAATAATCTAACAAAATAACAACTGTATATACTGTATTTTGTTTTGATCATACCTCTCCTACGATTAAATAAAAAAATTTTTTAGACGACAAATAAAAAAAAAGAAATTATGGGTTTAAAAACAACTATAAAATCAGAATATTTATATATTTTCTGA